ACCAAACCAATCGCAGTGCTTACCGTCTTCCTCCACGGGCCACAGGCGTTATTTCACTAAATGTGAAACAGGAAAGTCATATCAGCTGTGATGTGGTGCTGGATAGTTTGGCACGAACTCCTCGGGGCCCCCCCGTCGCTTGCCTCAGGTCCTCACTGCCTGCCTGCAGCCACTTCCCGGATTCCATGCGGGCAAAGCCCACGGACCTCTCTGGGTGGCACCAGCACCCTTAGTTGGCCCACCCAGATCTCAGGCTGCCCCTCACTGCCCGACGGCAAGGTTTGGGACGCAGTCTGCCTGTGTGTGGTCCTGCCCGCTGCCTGGGCAGAAAGGGTTCCACGGTGCAGGCCGAACCCCTGCACGTGGCCGTGGTTGAGCTGTTCTGCACTGAGGCCAGGCACAGGTCAGACTCCTCTCAGGCTCTACTTCTACTTTTCCTGTCCAGGGGACTCTCTGCCATTCCACCGCTGGGAATAGCTCCTAACTTTCTCCAAGCAGTCCCTTGTTTTATTTCACTCTTTCTTTTTCACAGGCCACACACACAGCTGAAAATGAGTGCGTTGGTTCTAGTTCAAAGTGTCAGCTGGACCCAGTGCGAGCTCTGAGCTCCAGGCTTGGGCAGAAGCCCTCCCTCTGCTGCCCGTTAGCCCAGCTCACTCTCCTGCGCCAGGAAGCACACAGCGCTGCCTCCCCACAGGGCGCCTGCTCCTCTCGCCCTTCCCATCACCCCTGGGAGGCTCCTGCTGGACAAAGCACAGGCTCGCTCCACCTCTGGTCCAGGCCACGCTCTTCCTGCCGGATGTGGCTTCTGTGATGCTCCGTGCTGGCTTTGCCCATGTGCATGGCGGGTCCCATGGCCGCTGGCAGACTCGGCTGTGGGCTGGGCTCCGACACACTGCCCCAGAACCGCAGCAGCCTCTTACGGGGGAGGGGAGCGAAAGCTGTGTGTCTGGTGGGGACAGCTCCCCCCCACCAGCCGGCTGCACTTCAGTTCCTAAGTGTAGACTTTGGAACTGCTAGAAAGTGACCGTCTGGATTTGAGCGCTGCTTGCTGTCGGGCTGTGGCTCTCCTGCAGGGACGTCCTCCTGTCCTGAAGCTGCCCAGGGAAGCCACCACGTGGGTGCATCCCAGGAAGGACGGGCTTCACATGCTGCCCACTTCCAGGTGGCCCCGAGGCCTGCAGACCCCAGTGCAGCCCCCCAGTGCAGCCCCCCCCCCAGTGCAGCCCAGTACGGCAGCACCACGCCCGCCTGGCCATCTGTGCTGAGACTGCTACCTGCATAAGACACAGGCTGGGTTTGGAGGACTTAGTACCAAAAGTGAAAAAGAGTTTACTAGTAATTTTATGTCGATTGATTGATTCCATGTTCAGAGGATGTGTTGCATACGTTGGGTTAAGCAAAATACATTGTTACAATTAATTTCATGTACTTATTTTTACTTTTTAGAATGTAACTACCAGAATATTTAAAGTTACACACTGGCCAGGTGTAGTGCTGTATGTCTGTGATCCCAGCTACTTGGGAGGCTGAGGCAGGAGGATCAAAAGCTTGAGCCTGGCTTAGGCAACATAGTGAGACCCTGTCTCAAAACAGAAAATGAAAAGGAATGAGAGTGGAGCTCAGCACTCCCTGAGTTCAGTACTGCCCACATCAAAACAGTACGTGTGGCCTGCATTGTGTAGCCACTGGACAGTGCTGGACAGTGCTGGACTCTGCCTCAGTGTGAGGTCTCAAGTGCATCTTAGCACGCTTCCAAACCTGTCACATGGCCCTCCTGCAAGGCCTCTGTTAGTAACTGGAGGTCTGGACAGTAAACTGAGCGCTTGTTCACTTTGTCCCCAAGTGGCACTGGAGCAAGTGTGTAAATTGCACCCCCACGCCAAAGGTATTCCTGAGTCCTAGTGACTGATTTAACCGGACGTCCTTCTTTTCACGATTCTTTTGAAGAGGCAGACAAGGATAAAACAGTGCTGAATTCCTCCCAGCTTAAAACCACACATCACCAACCTTGCATGGCAAGCTTTACGCCATTACAACAAACAGCAATGCTAAAAAAGCAAACGCGCTGGCGGCTAGCCATTCATCACCCAGGGCCTGGGTATCCCGTTGGAGGCCAAACAGAAGATATTTCACTGTCATCAGGTCTGGGAGAATATTTATGTTACACTTGGACTCGGGCCCAGGGACTGAGTATGAGCAAAGTCATTAATCTGGGTTGTGTTTTCAAGCCCGGGGTGAGTGGAAACCCTGTTTATTTAAACTGAGATCATCTTTGGTTCACTGTGCTGATTACCTCTTATTAGTTTAAGAGAATATGCTTCACAGTCTCATTCATAAAATGTATGTGTTAAAGGAAAACTACTGTCAGGAAGGGACAGGATTTGCCTGTTGATGACTATTTTGTGCAAGAGAATTTAAATCAGACCCTACATAACAAATTGAGTGTCACCCATGAACCCACAGTATGGATTTAATTTCTGGTTATCTTCACAAGGGGAACATTCCCTGCTCTGGAGGCGTGTGATTACAGAGGATTTTCAGCTGCTTGGGTGCTGGAGGCCTCCCCTGCTTGTCTGTGTGAAGATCTGAAGCCGGTGTAAACACCCCTACGATAAATGATCAGCAGCTCTGGGCTCTGCAAGGTTTTCTCCCGCCTTGGCGTCTCACATCAGCTCTGTTTTCCTGGAAAACAGAGTAAGAGCTGCTATGGCCTTTCTGTTCTCTGTGTAATAAGGAAGCCCGTAAGGGTGAGTTGAGTCTCATTTCAAGCTAGCTCAGCCTCAGGGCCTTTGGGGCACCTGAGAGCAGGGACTCGGGAATTCGCATCTGCTGAAGCTGAGCCCCTAGGCAAACATTAGCACTGCTTGTCTACCTGGCTTCCTACTGCTGAAAAATGGAAGCCACACTGTATGTTGTAAAATTAGACATGTACACAGTTTTAGGCAGGGTGTGGAGCTCACTTTCCATCCTTTCCTTTTGCAGGAGGCAGGTTTTATGGGCCAGGAGCACCTCATGCCCCAACCCTGGGGTTTGTGAGCTGCAAGGTCTTACTCCTGTGAGGGTGTGGCCACCCACAGCTGGCCAGGTCCAGGGGCTGCAGCTGGCCGAGGCAACTGTGAAAGCAGAGAGGTGGTGGAGGGGAGACTGGAGATGTGAAGTAGGACACACTGCCGGCTTGAGAGATGGAGGGGAAGGAAGGGGCACGAGGATGGGAGCCCAGCTGGTTGGCAAGGCCAGAACTTCTGGCCTGTGCTGCTGGAACCCAGACTGCAACACTGGGCAATCGTGCCCGGCTGACTTCTGTCTGCCTGTGAGACCTGTGAGATGCATGTGGGTGTCTGACCCTCAGGACTGTGAGACAGAAACACCAGTGTCCAGCGGGGACGCCGCACCATGGTGGGCGCTTGCCTTGGGTGCTTGTGGCCTGGGCCGGGGAGCATTTTAAGCTGTGTGTGGCAGTTTGTCATATGTTGAAAGAAAACAGGTGTCCATTTGCTGAATCACATGGCTTTTCTTTCTTGCTGTGTGGCGGCTTCTGCAAATGCTGGGTTGGAGTCTCTCTGAGATCCTGTGAGGGCCAAGGGGACCCACGTGGCATCTCTGGCAGAGCCAGCTCTCCTCTCTGCTGTCACTGATGCCGCCTGCTCAGGGACAGCACCGCCTGGCGTTTAGTGCACAGCTCCAGGTACACGGCAGGTGCTCAGTGCTTGTGTGCTGCAGGACACTCGGTGCTTATCAGCCAAGTCCACAGTCATCCAATATTTGTGCTGGGAAAGGAACCCACGAGAAAAAACAGTGTATCCTCAAGCTGGAGTTTGTAGGGGGAAATTATGTAAACAAAGCACTGAAGTGCAATGCTATTCCTGCTCAAATGCTGCGCTGGGTGATTTATTAGGTAAAAATGGCCTGATCCTTCAGGCAGAACAGGCACAGAGAGGTGCGCAGTTACAGGGAGATGGAGCAGCCTGCAGGGAGGAGCAGGGGCTCAAGTGAGGCCGGGACATGGAACTGATCTGTAGGCCGAGGCGGGCTGTGCAGACGCAGTAGGAGTGGGCTTCACGCGTGGGCTTGGGGTGTCTCAGTTTGTTTCCCACACACCACAGCAATGTGCTCAGGTTTGCGAACTAATTGGGAAGCAGTGGTACATGGTGGGCTGGACAGCACAGAGCCTGGGGATGGCAGAGTTGGGCCTGGAGGGTTTCATGATCTTCAGGCTATAAGGAAAACACACCTGGCTCTATGAGACCCTTTCTAAGGGTCCTGACTTTTAACATCATTTGTAAAGTGAATGTCCCAGGCAGGGCAGCAGGGACTTTCTGTGTGGCTGACGGACATGAGGGCTGCAGCCTCTTCCTGTCTGGTCAGGATGAGGACTGGGGAGCATGGACAGAGGCCTGATTACTGGGTTTGCAATGCAGGTCTATGGGTGGCAGGAACGTGGGGCTGGAGCAGCAGCTTCCTGGGGTGGGTAGGGTGGAGCGGATTCTCTCCTGGAGCAGTCAGGCTTTTGTTGCTGGGACCAAACACCTGACACAGCGTAAAGGAGGAAATGGTTTATTTTGCTCACGGTCTCAGAGGTTCACTCCATGCTCAGCTGGCTCCAAGCAGAAATGTGCTGGAGGGCATAGTGGAGCAAAGCTCAGGGAAGCAGAGCCAGGGGCCAGCACCAGAGAGGGGCTGGACGGACACAGACCCCTCTGACGCACCAAGAGTGTGCTCTGCTGCAACTGATTGCGTCAATGGGCAGAGGAGGACAAGATAACTTCGTTCTCAGCACTCAGAACTCCTTTTCTCACAGGAACACTGTTATAAACAGCAGTGTGTCTGAAACCTGGTCTACTTGTTATCTTTTTTTGTCTACTCAATGTTTCATTGTCAACCAGACTTCTGGAGATTGACCATGGTTAGCTCATCAGATACAAATTCAATATTGTCTTGAGAATTGGAAGACATCACCCAGAACACTGGCTTGAAATGTTTTAAAAAATGAGTCACAGTTGTCTTAAAAATTAGAATAGAACTTTATTTGTGGAAGATTTTTAAAAAATGGTTTTATACTTTAAAGTATGCAATAAATTTTGACACATTAATCTTAATATATATTTACCATATGATTTTAAAAAACAATGTCAAATAGCTTGTAATCAAAATGGACTGTAACTTGATATTTATATGGAATAACTTCAGCATTACAAATATAAACTAAAATGAATACCGTTTTTTATGGTATTAAATTCTTGACATTAAGTGGTACTAAATTTGCACTTGTAATACAATTTTATGTTTGTTAAATTTGACGAGAGAGAGCATGAGCTAGAATGCTACACCAGGGATTTCCAGGGATGCATGATGTCCCTGCTTTCTCACAAGGACCCCCCGGCTCCCTCGGGGGAAGCCCCAGAGCCGGTTTTCTGCCGAGGGGGAGGGCCCCTTGCAGGAGGCAGAGGCTGGGCGGCGGGAGGGAGCCTGGTCTCATCAACACTGTCTTCTGGCAGAGCCACAGGATGGTGCAAGCACGTCACTGGCTGGAAAGGACCCGGTGCTTCCTGAAGCTCTGATGCCTGCGGCATTTCACAGAAAGGCTGTTTAAAGGGCTGTGGAAAATCCTGCTTTCACAAAGTAGCTTTCACATTCAGTTCTACATACTGAGGACAGTTCCAGGACACACCGGCCCACACTGACGTCGCCTTGAACCTGGACGGTGAGGTCCACTGGTTGAAACGCAGTCCCTGCCTCCTTAGCCGCTGTGCATCACTCTACTTTCGGATGAAGAGATTCTAGGCAGAGCGGTCAGTGTGGACCCTTCCTAGGCACAACCGGCGGCCAGCAGCAAAGTCCTTCTGGTTGTCAGGCTCTGCACGGGCCTTTCTGGGTGTTCCCTCTCCAGAGCTCACCATAGTCTTGCGTGACAGGAGGTGGGCTCCACGATGCTCGTTTTCCCGGGGAAGAATCGGGAGCCCACAGAGGTGGAGTCAGCTGCTGCTGTTCCCATGGCAGGTGACAAAACAAGCTCCACACCTACGGCACAGGCGGACACCCACGGTGCAGGCGGAGGTGCTCGCCTGTGAATGGCTCTGTGAATGGCGGCAGGGACTCTGGAAACTGGGTTTGCTGTTGTCCTCGAGCTGTGCTGATGAGTGCTATTCCCCAACAAACATGGGGCCATGGCCAAAAGTACTGTTACAAGTCTCACAGAACATTCGTATGTATTTAGGAAAGTTTACAACACATATTTACAATTATTCCCTTCTCACCAAAATACCACATTAACAAACAGGTTTAATTCTGTGTGAGACCATTTTCTGAATTACGTTCCAATACAGGGATGAAACACAGAAATAAAGCCTTGACACACTCCACCTTTGGAAGTGCGCTGGGACCTAGAACATTCCCACACCTAGACTCCCAGCACTCTGGGAGGCTGAGGCAGGAAGACTGCAAGTTCCACCCCAGTTTGGGTAACTTGATAACTCAGCAAGACCCTGTCTCAAAATAAGAAATAAAAACGGAAAAAGGAGTGGAGATGTAGCTCAACACAAAGTCCCTGGGCTCAATCCCCAGGACCCATCAAAAAACAAAAACAAAACCAGAAACCCCCCAGCAAAAACCAACTTTGCCTTTTGCCTTGTTCTGCTCACTCTACCTTGCATTGTTTACACGCTCCTTCACGCACTTGGAAGTGCCTCGAGGTAAACTGAGCTGTTTTCACGGCCATTAGGGCCTAGCACAGCACTGCATGGCAGGCCTGGCAGCACTGGCTGGGTTCGTGCCCAGACCTGATGCTCTTCTGTCTGGTCTGGTTGCTTCCACTATGGCATTTCACCTACAGGGCTCTGGAGCTGTAACAAACCACCATCATTTGCATAGTAAACAGTACTTTTTAGAAAGTATAAGAAATGTGGTAACAAATTTAATACAAATTATGCATTTAACTATTCTTTGGCTATTTTAAACAAATTACTTAGTTTTTTATACTAAAGTGATACTAAAAATATAAAAATGCAACTACAGAAATGAGCTTCACCTGTAAACATACAAACCCTGTAAACATGAACTCACTAGGAGCAACCAGGAAGGGCGAGCACTAAACCCCGACCTGCTCTCCTGGGTGCGGTGGAGACGCCGCTCTGTGAGACCTGAGGGTTTGAGGGAGAAATGCAAACTGCATGAACTCAGGCGGTGGGTCTGCGTGTGCCGCGGCGTCAGGCAAAGGGAGGCTCTAATACTGCGTCATTAATGCGACTTTGCCCCACATCTCAGGAGCCGCCGTGTTTACTAAAGCTTCATATTAATGAAAGCTTAATACTTTTAAAGTGAAGAAGTGAGCAACTTTTCTGCAAGTGAACAGACTAAAATGATGGGTAATACAGTCTCCAAAGTTTTTCCAAAACTCTGGGGTAAGGTAAGGTGCGGTAGGTAAGTCTACAAAACAATAAATAGCTGCAAGTAGCCCTAAATACATTGTAGTTTACTCAAAATTAAAGTACTTTCTCCCAAATTGCAGTTTTCCTTCTCAAAAATCATCAAACTTTTTACATGGCATTTATCACAGCTATTTCACAGCCATAATTTCAGTAGTTTAAGGAAGATCTGCCTGGCAAATACTGTAAGAGGTAAATGTTAAGGACAAAACTCACTACTGCAGGCACCTGGATGCATGTCCTACAGCTCGAACTCTAAGGATAGGGTGAAGTAACTGTATAAATGTACATTACTTAGAAGTGACTGAAATAACAGTGACTGTCATACTATGTCTGCTAATGTTTTAACAATTTTCTCCAATATATGGGAAGAATCAGTGGCTGAGTTTTAGTAATTCCCTGGAAAATTTTCAGTCACAATTTTGTTTATAAAACCGTGGCAGCAAAAACACCATAGATTGTTATTTATAATCTAATCGACTCCGTCGAAACCCTGAGTGTTTTCAATCGCCATCTGAAGTTTATCCCACAGTTCTTCAAATGATTCATAGGGTGGCAAGTCCAGGCGGTTGAAGCTGAGAGAACAGAGCAGAATGGTTAGGAAAGACGGTGAGCCAAGGCCACGGGGAATCAGGGCGAGGGTCAGCGCTGGGACCCTCCTGTCCACCCTGTGGCCTGCAAAGGTCTGCCTCCCCTGCCATGCAGCCCACAGGAGGGAAGCTCTGGTCCTCCAGGGACATCCACACTCTGTGATGGAGGGAACACAACTGCTTAGATGGGCCTCCCTACTCGCAGACACCTGCCCAGGCCCACAGGGCGGAGACTCCTGCTCCGGGGGTGCTGTCCCTGACTCCTTGTCCAGTCTTGCGCCCAACACAGCACCCAGGGGCTGGACCTGCCACCCCGGACTAACAAAGGAGCCACGATCCTTGCACACTCACCAGGTGTGAGCCCTGGGCAGCTTCTCTGGGGAGCCCCACTGCTCCACTGTGAAGGGCTGTGGTCCATTGGAGCCTGGAAGGAAGAAGCATTCTTCAGTTTCCCCGGCCTGCCCGCAAGCCCCAGGCTTTTCAAAACCACTTTCACTTAGACTCACAGGTTCCTAATCTGGTTTCTTTAAACCCTAAAGAAATGAAGGCCGTCCTGTGCCTGACTTCACAGTCAGCCTTTGAACAAGGAGCCCTCGTCTGTGAGTGCCCTATCCCCTGCCCCAAGCATGGCACATCCGAGGATTCTCTGGCTGATTGCTGACCTGGACAGAGCGGCAGTTTTACATAGGATTTTCTACCTAAGTTCAAAGAAAAAATCAGTGTCCTCTTTCTTTGAGTCCCACAGAAAATAGCTTTAACTTTTTCTGATTATATAATGTCACTGTAAGCATTGCAGTCAACATAAAACATAACGAAGGATGTAAAAATCACTGCAAATTCTACCTTGAAACTCTGTCTCAAAACTGGTCATGAATCTTTTTTGAGCATGTGCATGTCCACACAGACAATTTTACATGCATGCATGTGATGTTACCTGGTCTACATTTCCTCCACCGTGGACATTTTTAGAAACTGTTGCTCTTTTCTTCAGCATTTCCACTCAGCTCTTCCTTCTACAGCCCTAACATCTTCCAACCACCAGATAATCGGTGCCGACAACCTGTCCCTAATTTTCCAGTTTCCTTCACGTCTATAATCACGTCCAAATGTGTGCATGTGTGTCACTGCCAGAAGCAGCACTACAAAATTTAATATTCTTAAAGTTTCCTCAAAACCGTAACTTTTCACACACCACCTGTCACAAGTATTGTGTCCACAGCTCAGATCTCAGTACTTTTGCCACTATTCTCCATAACATGGAATCCTATTATACATATTTCTCTCTGCCTTTTGATTTTTTTACCTAAACAACCTATTATGAACACTCCAAGTTGACTGATACAAATTTAACACATACTTTGCTACACAATATAGCACTGTGACATAAGCATTTTAAAGCAACTGTTACTTTCTGCACATACATAAAAATTTGAATTTGTATTCTAACACAAGTAATACTGGCTCTGTGTGTCGCTACTTTCCCCAGATTTCAAACGGTTCCTGAAATGTGTGGATGCTGGAAGCCTGGGTGGTAGAGAGAAAGATGGTGGAGCTGTGGGAGGAGAAGTGTTTGTCTCCAGCTTAGCCCTTGCCTGAGCTGTCCCTGACTTCTAGTTCCCAGAACAACCCTAATCTTATTTGTTGCTCTCAGTTGGACTTCAAATTTAGCTACACCTTTGATTTAGCATTGTTGTTGCTGCTGGGGTTGGTGGTGCATGCCTGTAATTCCAGCACTCAGGAGGCTGAGGCAGAAGAATCTCTGTGAGTTCGAGGCCAGCCTGGGCTACACAGTGAGTTCAAAGCCAGCCTGACCTACATAGTGAGACCCTGTCTCAAAAAACCAAAAACAGTTGTTCTTGGTATCTTTCAAAGCAAGTAAACATCATTCTAGTAAACAGAATATTAACCAACATGAGAAAAATGTCTATGATTTACATTAGAAATAACACTTAAAAACCCAACACACTTCTAATGTGCACACCTATCAAAAGGTAACCTAATGGACACAAAGAATTCCACTGCACAGAACACTTGCACTAATTGGTCTGGGTCCCAAGAGGCATGCAGTGTGCCCGGAGCCTGCCACCCCACAGGAATGGAGAAGCCCAACAAGACTTCCTGCACCCCAGAAGGAAACAAAAGGCTCCACCAGCGAGAAGTCTTGAGGACTTTCTGACAGTGAAGTTTCTGAACAAACAAATCCCTGAGACATTGCCAGCGGCTCCCCGTGACTGGGGTGTGGTCCAAGCTGTGCCCTCCTGCGGCGAGGGTCTCGGGCCTGCACCCACTACCTCCCAGCACACAGTTTCTAACTGGGGCACAGTGTGAGACAAGCAAGCAGAGCAAGCACAATAACGCATTTTAACAAAAGTTCCGTGTATCTTGCTTCTCTCTCTCTAGCATCTACTTAATACGCTCAGACTGTGGCTGACAGCAGGTAACTGAAACTGCAGAATAAGCAGACTTGGGTCAAGGGGGACCACTGTAATTTCCTTTAGCCCAGCCTTCCCCAGATGTAGCCTGTCATGACCCTGTATACCAGGGTACACTTTTTCACGCTCCACAGGTGCTGAATGCTGCCTGAGCCATTGCCTGGAGGTAATGCTGCTTCTGTCACAGTCACTGTGGGAGTACAGTGGAAAGTTCAAGAACAGAGAGCAGCCCCAGCCACTCCCCAGGGGTCCCCTTCAATCTCGGGTCAGGAGGCAGAAACACGTTTGGTCTCCTTCAGTGCTACCTGGTCATATTCAAATCTTACTGTTTTTTTAAAAATTAAGTTAAGCACACTAATATAAATGACAGAAGCTTGAAGACAACCAGCCATGAGAAAGACAGTTGGCTTCACTCTATATTTTAATGATCTAAGGAAAATGCTTACCATACAGTTCTGCGAACCCGTTCATTGGCACCCGGGAAGTACCAGTGACAAACTGAAGTAATCGTATTCTTTTTTCTGAGTCCATCATTAGAACAGCCTGAGTAGGATAAAAAGCTTCACTTTAGGGAATAATACTGGAAAAAAGGTACAAAAATTATCCTGAAAAATACGCTACCATGACGTAGTTACAGGGTTAATGATCACTAAATTTGCATGTTCTTCATGTTCAATGCGCCTTGGTAGGTGGTTTATAAAGTTCTCAAAAAGTGTCTTTCCAGGACTCAGTGCAGCTCCACAGGGTGGGACTACAGGCTAGTGAAATAGCAGGACTTTCTTTTCAGATGTGACTCACAGCTTTTTAAAAATTACATTTACTGTCACTACTGCATGGCACGCACATTCTCTCTGCAAAGCTTCACAGGAGCCGTGAGGAGTTCCGGCAGCACACGCGGTCACGTGAGGTCTCCCAGTCCCGGGGTGGCTGCACTCTGAACCCTCCCTCAGCTGCGAGGGGCCGGCAAAGCTGTCGAAGGTGTGTGTGCCAGGTGTAGTTTTTGTTCACTGTTTGTGAACAGATAATCAAAGGTGGACACAAATGGCTTTGACCTGGAACTAAGTGGTTTACGACACAGAAGCCTTCTGCTACCTTCCAGAACCACTGTATGACCGGGTGACTCGTGCTGTAGCCGTTCTTGTACTTGGTGTGCTCCCGCCAGTCGTTCACATCCACGTCTCCCAGCCCGCACATGAGAAGCTACGCACGAGAAACGAACAAGACTGTAACAAGAAAATGGCGGGCAACACTCCTATTTCCACTTAAAAATGGTATTTCTTACCTCTAGTTCATTTTCATCAAAAATTTTGATGAGATCCTGTGGTATTAGTTCAAAAAATCCCTGGTAGAAAAAAGACATTTAAAAGCCTGGTCAGTGGGCTCTGTGGACATGTATGCACTTTGGCTTCTGCATGCTACTGGAGAAAATCTCACTGCTTAAATGTTCACATCCACTTGGGGGTCTTCACGGAGGTTGCACATCAGCAAGAACGTGTATTTTCCACGACCTGTCCTCTCTCTATTCCTCTTACCCACACTAAACTCCTCGGACTCCTCAGCCTCCTCCACACCGCCCCTCTGCACGGGAGAAGTCTACTCCAGAGGGAGCATGTGGCCACCGCCCCGCCCTCCGCCTGTGCCATCCCCTCAAGACAGCGGCTTCAGGGCACAGGGGCAGCACCCGCCCTCCCCCAGCTGCGGTGGGCAGTGTGCTTCTCAGCGAGCCCCCCATCGGCAGGCCACCAAGGTCCCCAGGCCTTGGGGGACGGTGCCGGATAGCAGCTGCTTGGCCATGCCCACCACACTCTCTTCCTCACCCTTGTCTGGCCCTGGTCCCTCTGCCTGCCCTGTGGGCTCCTTTGCAGCCCCCTCCACTGTCAGTGACACGAAGGTGTTGCTTCCCGGGACCTCACTTCTGCACCCCCCACTCCATCCTCTCTGGCCCTCAGGGTCACCACACACAGGCAACAACCCCACCAGATGCCTCCCTCCACTGAACACCCTCCTGAGCTACCAGCTGAGAACGGGACTTCACCCACGTATGGCCTGGACACCTGTGTGTCCCCTCAGTGGCCTCACTCAGGCTCCGGCCTGCTTCCACATACTCTGACCGTGACAGGCCTGAGTCTGGGGTTATGTGGCTTAGACCACCTTTCTCCCTCCTGGACTTCAGCGGACTCCAAGCAGTGCTGTAATGAGTGGCCCTCCGCTGGCTCTGCTCGGCCCAGGCCCTCCGTGCAGACCCGGGAGGCTTGTGTTCCTCTCTGATGTGCAGCTCACTCAGAACAGCTTCCCCTCCCTGCCTGAGAATATGCCTGCCTCTCCATAGCCCGAGCTCTTCCAGGGAAGGTCTGTACCTCACAGAGAACCAGACACAGTCTGTGGTTGGCACTGAGCAAGGGACAAAGTACAGGGCAAATATTGAGCAGGTGCTGTTCAATCAGTGGAAGTGGGGTCTGTTCAGGTAGCGCTGCACACCTGTAATCCGTCACTTGGGAGGCTGAGGCAGAAGGATCATACATTTGAGGTCAGACTGGGCAACCTAGAAAGACCCTGTCTTGAAACAGAAAACTAAAATACCAAGAGATGGGGAGTGTAGTGCAGTGGTAAGAGTGCTTTGCCTCACACAGTGATGGTGAACCTCGAAGAGAGCTCAGGGACAACAAACTGCTGCACGCATGCCATAGATTTGTCACCACTGGCCTAGCATGTATGAGGCCCTGGGTTCAATCCTCAGAAACACACGAAAGAAACAAAAGAAGAGAAGAGAAAGGAAAAGCGAAAAGAAAGGAAAAGACAGAAAAACGAGTGCTCTGACAATAGCCAGGTGTTGCGGCCCAAGTAGCGCAAAGAACTCATGAACTCATGTTAAGAATAAAATGCAGCCACAGAGAAGGGCAGCTGTACGTCTCGACCTGTCAAGGTCTCTGAGAAGGTTCTTCAGTGGCCTGGAGATGGCCCCCAGGCCTTCACGCAGAGCTATATCCCAGGCCTTTATTTTTTTGAGACAGGGTCGCTGTAATTAACTAAGTTGCCCAGGCTGGGCTCAGACCTGGGATCCTCTGCCTCTTCCAGGGTGCTGGGATGACAGGCCTGCCCCACAAAGCCCGGGCTGCACCGCGTTTGGCATGGGGAGACAGTGAGGCGCACGTGTCTGCACAGGGCTCTCGCTCCTGTTCCCTCAGCTACAGCAGTGAGTGTCGAGGGCAGTGGGAGCCGCTGCAGGGGCCCCGTCAGGTTCACTGCTTGGACCTCAAACACCTGTGTTTTAGTAAAAGTGCCAATTTGTGGAATATTTTGTTAATATAAAAATCGAATGATTGTAAAAAGCCATAAACTTTTTTTTCTCAGATGCAGTGAGGCCCAGCCTTTTTTTTTTTCACATCAGTGAGCTTTTCTTTTCCTTTTTTCTATTTATTTTTTATTAGTCCACATCAGCTAATAATGATTGCACCCATCCTGGGGAGCTGGCTCAGAACACATCTTCATCATTTTCTTGTTCCCTACGCTCCCTTCCTCCCTGCTCCCCCTCCCTCCCGGCTCCTTCCATCTCTGGGTCCCTTTCCATCCCCGTTCCCTCCCCTTCCTTTTCCCTCTCATTTGAAAAAGGTCTCCCTACTTCTTATTATCTTTTATTTTGCTCTTTATATTTGAGAAACATGTGATATATATGTGAAACTTCCAGTTACACTGGACATGAAAAAGGGCAAACAAAGGAAAACAAATACCTCTTTAAAAGCAGCCATTTGTTTCTGGATTCGGTTGACAAATCTCCACTGTATTACAAGGCTAGAAAGAAAAACAATTATTTTTTCATATGAACCAAGCAAAAATTTTATTTATGCCCATTAGAAATAGAAAACAAAGACTAGCTAAGTCCACAGCAAAAGCTGAATCCGAAGAGGAAATCCAAAGAGCAAAGAACATTGCCATTCTGGACTGGGGCAAAGAGAAGAGAAAAAGATGCTCTTGGAATAAAGTATAAAAGTGCTTCTGGTGGGCTAAAAAATACTTACTAAATATATTCCTTTTTGTTCTTATTGGTAACAATGATTTCTGAGCCACCATTTTTCAGCTCATGTTGGTGTGTCTAAAATTAAATAAGATACCATGTTATTTTGGCAAGAAAAAAAATAAATGTACATATATTTATGTATGCATCTATTTTTGAGTTATACTAGAATCTTGGTATTTTAAATTAAATTCATTCAAAAGCTAAAAGCTAAGAAAACTTAAAATATTAGTTTTACTGAAGTAAATAGAGAAGGAGTCAAATGTCAAAGAAAGCACAAATTCTTGCTGAGATAGCTTTTTGTTACTGAAAAATATGTAAAAACAGCAACGTACTGAATATGTATAGTTATGTCAATACCTAAGTTAGATTTGCTTCACAAATTATACATCATTTTCGTTGAGTAGAATTCACAAACCTGTCCAAAAAGTTCTTCATCTATGATAAACCTGAGGTCCAATTCTGTTGGGTCATTTTCAAGAATCCATCTCAGTGAATTATAATATTCACCATCCTAGAAGGCAAAAAATACATTTAAAAAATTTGTACATATAAAGACATCTGAGCCTGCAAAAAAGTATTTTTTTTAAGGTCTGAATAATCCAGGGACAAGCAAAAAGGTTAGCTGGACATATTACACACACATGCATGCACGCACACGTACCACAGAGAGGGATGGAAGTGCAAGAGTAAAGATGCTGCAACTGGGAGAGTGGTGCCTACTTAAAATGCAGACCTCTAGCTGGGCATCATGGCACAGGCCTGTGAGCCCAGCACAGGCAACTCAGCAAATAAGAGTGTCTGAAAATGAAAAATACATGGGCGGGGGATGTGGCTTAGTGCGAAGGCCCTAGGTTCAATCCATAGTACCATAAAAAAGTTTAGAAATCTATCTTTTATGCGGGAGCAGTGATTGAAAAGGTTAAATAAAGTAGTGTTCAGTTAAACCCAACACCCACGGATATCCTGGAACACCAACACTGTTCTCACATGACTAGGAGGCTGATGTTTTGTGGCTATGAGGAGGTTGCTACACCTGGCCCATGTTAAAGAAAAATCATAAATTAAATAAGAAAGCTCAATTAACCCACTCAAATAACTGGTCTTGCAAGTCATGAACAGTCAACCTTGTCTGCAGCCATAACACGCAAAGAAGGAATGACACACGTGTGTGGTGCTGAGGAAGGGTTCTCAGGACCCAGTGCCCCAAATGCAGGGCGCCACTCGCAGGGGCACAAGAACGAAGCTTCGAGGTTCAGCCTTGGGCTCTGCTCCTCTGCTGAGACCTCACCTTGCCTTTAGGCCACCATTTAAAGCTCTTGCCATGTATCATAAAAGACCCAAATTCAAAGACGGATGCAAGAGGTCTGGAGCTGCGGCACTGAGAAGCCTGGGGCGAAGAGTATGGATTTCTGCAACTTGCTCTGCAAGGTACAGACACACTTGACGCACGACGGATGCAGGCATATGGTAAAGCAGACGCAGAAGAAAGCCAACTGTGGGTGGGATATGTAAGCACTCATGATAAATTCCTTCAATTTTATCATGTCAGAAATTTTTCATAATAAAATGTTGGGAAGATGTTCCTTTGTTTTTTGAGACACTACAATTTATTAATATCTATGTTGTTAAAAGCTGATTCTTCAACATGTTTGCTCGCCTGTCAGTCCACACTCCCCACACTCTGAGTGAGACATACCACGGACTCCATGTCATGGAGCGTTATTGGCTTGTGTAGCATCATCTTGTAAAACGGGCGGATGAAAAAACCTTGCAAGAAATGAAAGATACTTAAAATGCTTACCAAATTAAAGAAAACAATTACAATTCAAAAAGGAAGTTTCATACTTAACACGAACCATCCAACAGTTTGCCATGATAAACTGCCATCCCTGCTATCCTGCCGATAAACTTGAAGTAAGAGAGGTGATCTTCATTACATAACCCGGAGTTTGCGTTTATCTGTAGGGTGTAATTATCCCTGTGAAGAAAAGCATGTTTAAATAGTCCTCTTCATAGTGCACAGAAAAATTTAATATGACCAGTAATGATACATTTTCTCCCTCTTTTTAGTTATTTAGCTCTACTAGAACCACATGTGGACTTAATGGTTTTAAAAAGCCATACTCTCTAGACTGGAGGTGATGTTCCACGGCAGAGTGTTTGCCCAGCAAAGTCTAGGCCTGAGATTGGATCCTCAGCACTGAAACAAATTCTGCCAAAAGGTGGGAGTAACCCAAGAGTCCACAGATGGACAAATGGAAGAATGAACTACGGTGCCCAGAGGAATGCAAAGGAAGCCCTACTACGTGCACGACATAGAGGGACCTGAGGATGCCACTCTCAGTGAAATGTGCAGACATGGAGGATAAATATGGCGTGGTGCACTTGTGGGAGGAACCTGAGCTGCGAAGTCACAGAGAAAGATGCAGAATGAGCTACTGAGGTTTAGAGGGCACAGAGAGATTTTTAGGAAGATGAAAAAGTTCTGGAGATGGAGGCTGTGCTGGTTACAGCAGTGTGAATGAATTTAAAAACCAGTGAACTACAAGTGGCAACAGCTGAGACGGTGCATCTTACGGTATAGGTCCTGTACCACAATGCTTACAACGCTGTCCCATAGCCTTAGGGATCACCCCTCCTTTCCGGAGTGCCATACACACTTTGCCCACGCATCAAGCAAGTTACGTTACTTGCAGAACAGCAGTGCTTTTCTCCTGTGTACAAAGGGATTTAAAGGTCTCTGTGCCCGGTGCAGTAGTGCGGGCCTTATGCCTACCTCCTGGGGCAGCTCTGGCTGGAGGGCCACTTGAGCCCAGGAGTTTGAGGCCAGCCTTGGCAACATAGTGAGAACCTATGTCTAATAAATCAGTTGACCAAGGTACTTACGTAGCAGAATATTCAAACAACCCATAATAAGGGTTAAACATTTCCTTGGAGATCAAGAAGAACCACTCTCGGGCTACCCCTCCGTAATCCAACCCTTTCTCGCCGTCAAACTCAATCCAGAGCCGGGCCTTGAGGAAGTCGGCTCTCTTCACAGCCATGATCCTCCGGTAAGAGTCCTCCAGCACAGTTGCTCGGCGAAGTTTCATTTCAAATTTGTTTGGAATGTCGTTCTAAAAAGCCAGAGAAGAGAGGCTTCCAGTTACAATCAACCCAACCAGTGACAAGCTTGTCTCCCACAGACGTCCACACCTCCACACCCCGCTCTGCCCAGGGTGCAGCTGAGGAGCTGTGATAGGCACGCAGTCCTGACACTCCAGGACCTGGTCTCCGGCTGCTCACAGAGGCAGACCTCACTTCTGCATTGGAAGAAGCTGTGATCTCTCAGGCACAGCACTTTCCGCGACAGGTTCCCGGGAGGCCACTCTGCGATGACTCCCGGCCACCACCAGCTCTCCCCAGGCTCCTCCTCTGAAGCACCGGCAGGCTTGTAAGGCGCTGCCAGTGTTTCCAGGGTCACCTCCCTCACTCCTCCCAGCAACACCATCAAGAACCTCCCCCTTCCCCATCTTCACCTCATAGACGCAGAAAATGAGCTAGCAAAAGTGATGGCCTCAGCTCCCCAGTCTGTCCGCTGGTAACAAGCTACAGCACCTCCCAGTGTGCCTTGCGTTCTGTGCTATGTGACACAGGTATGGAATCTTGCCTGGGTAGATCTTACCATACATTTTGTAAAACTACCTGAGTATTTTATTCCTGAGTGCTCAATGCACAATGTTCAAGTGGCAACCTTTAGGGAAACAGAGGCTAAGGACATTCTGTCACTCCAGAAAAGGAAAAGGTTAGCATTAAGGAAAAAGTTGAAACTCTCAGTACATTTAGGGAAAATAGGAGTCCTATAGAAATATAGTGGTCTAAGTGGTTTATATCAGCAATATAAACGTAAGTTTTCCCTGCTCTTGTGCAACTCCAAGACTGGAGAAAAGTGGTTGCTTTAGACTGGCCATTAGGAAGCTGGTGTGCCTAGGCCCAGGCTGGGTGGCACCAATGTGGGGCCAGGAAACAGGGACAGGCAGATGACGTACTCTCACCTGTGTGCAGGTGGGAAGCAAGTGCAAATACCACTCATTCTGAAACTTAAGAGTGAGACCACTGCTCACAGCAATGCTCCCCGGGTACACGAGAGACAGGGATTAACTGCAAATAGCCCACCTGAGAGGCTTGGAGGGGAAGGCAGGGAGGGGCAGAACAGACTTCCACAGCTCCAGTACAGCTGGTGGAGAGGGACGGGGAGGGAGGGAGGAAAGGCGGAGAGCACAGGGAGAGGAGGAGGCAAACTCTTCCGAGGCCCGAGAGCAGATGGGTATGAGTGGTGCAGAAGACATGTTTCTGAGCACGGGAGCCTGGTGGCTGTTCAGGGGCTGACGGCCGGGTTGGTGCAGTGGGTGGTTCAGTGAAGACTCTGACAGCCTGTGCAGGAGAAGACAGACAGGCCGAGAGGGAGATGCTGTCAGGGAGAGAGGGCACAGAGACCAGGACTGTGAGGGGAGGGGCCGGCTGGGCAGGAGTCTGGGGTGGGCCTGAGTTCAAATCTCAGCTCCACCACTTGCCATATGAGTGACTGCATGTGGTGCGTACTTGCTCTAAAGCTTAATTCTTCCTCTGCTCACAGGGGAAATAACACAATCTACCCCCCCTAGAGTTGTTTCGGGACTTACCGGCACAGCACATTTAAAATGCTCACACAGTGCCTGGCTCATAATGAGCTCGAGGGCTGTTGGATACCACCATCGTAACAATGAGGTGTCGGGGACAAAAAGGAAGAAAGGGTAAGACAGGTCAAGGCTGTCAAGCACTGCGTATTAGTACTTTTTACCTGTCTTGGTGCTCTGCTCTTTTGCTGTGAGGGCTCTAGATGTGGATTTTAATTTTTAAGTCCTGCTTGAGACTTTTTAAATCTGAGGATTTGGATTCCCAGATGCTAGCCATGCACCTGAACCTCTCTTGGAACAATTCCACCCCAACCTTTCCTTCTCACGCTCATCTCCTCACACATCTCTGCTGTAATCTGGACAATTTCCACACGAAGTTTCTTTCCTATTTGCCAGCATGATACATCTTGCTGGCCCAGGCTGCAGCCTCTGGAGCTGGACTATGAGGTCTGCTTCGGCCTCTCCTCTTCATACATGTGGGACTAGTCATATTACCTGACCTCTCCATGCCTCAGTCTCCTCTCCTATAAAATGTGGTAACAATCCCTTTCTTACAGCAGGTAGAGAACAAATCCACAATATCTGAAGCTTCCTGGGGAGAGTGCCTGGTATGCAGTGAGACATCAACAAACACTGTTTTCATTAGAATTTTTATAGCCGGGGACCTGTTAACCAAGGTGTTGTCCCTCATCTCTGCTGCCTGGAAGACATCAACAGATATCTCATATGTTTACAAGGTCCCAGGACAAACATAGGCACTGGAACTTCTCTTCCACTAGCCTATTTTCAGTAAAAAGAAAAACATTTACCAGAAAAATGAATCAACAAAGATTTAAGACCCCAAAGCCTAGAAGAAAGAGACAAATTTCAGTAATTTAGATACAAAACTATTCTTTAAGAAGAGTTTAACAGGTTGGGGTTAAAATTTTTGTTAAAATTCTGGATGAAATCCTATACTGTAGTAGCACACCCATACCTTGACTCTCCAGGAAAGTGGCCTTCCAGTTTAAAGCCCCAAAAAGTGTGACCCAATGTCCCAATATTGCCACCTTGTGGAAGTGCTGCTAAACTGCAGGGAAAGGGGAGGGCAGGGGCAAATGATGACAGCATTAAAGTGGCCCTTGCCAATGGCAACGAACAGACGGGCAGGTGATGGATGTAGTTCTGGACACATCAACCTGGGGTGACTGGAAAGCATGAAGAATGTGCCTGATGACCACAGGAGAAAAGCAAGGAGACCAGCAGTCCACTCACAGGGTGCTCTCCTGCACCCCACACAGAGCACGGTGTATTTGGAGCTGTGACAGCGAATGCCCACAGTGGGAAACACAAAGTTGCAAAGGGTCCAGACAGCCCTCCAACGGGTGAAAAACAATGAAGATGGTCACACCAGATTCCATAAGCCCAGGCCCCACACATCCCGAGGGAACACCAGGTGCGTGTACACCATTACTACACCATTACCATTACTACACCAATGCATACACCATTACTACATCTTTTAATATTAAATATCTTGAAAACTAAACTTAAAAATAGACTTAAAATAATTATGGTCTCTAATGATATTTGAAAAATAAGCATCGTTTCCCTAGGAGCAACCATTCACTCCAGGTCATTTCAAACACAAATTCTCTATTACTTTGAAAAACACATTTCCCAGTACTTACGAGAAACACTACTAACCTGCTTTTTCAACTTCCTTCGGAAGAACTCATACTTTCTTTTGTAATCCCTGGAGTAGGGCACTGCCTTTAGTGGAAATTTGGAGGGAGGCAAAGGCTTAGTTTTTTTTTTTTTTTAAACCCTGGAATAATTTTACAAGTTCCCCTCTGGGTATTTTCTGAACATTAAGTTAAAGACATGAAAAGAGAACATATGGAAATTAAATTTCACTCTAAGGAAAACAAATACACATTAAAACTTTTACTTTTTCTGTTTAAGATAAAATTGTACCCAGCAATTCCTATGGCTGTGATTTGCATCATGCAATATTACTGAAATGTAACATGCCAGAAACAAGTAGAGAAATATTAGAAATAAAAATTTCCATTTCTAAAAAAGACTTTCAAAGTGATTTGTCCATTAAAGGAACAATCTGAAAAATGTACTTTTCCTTGAACTCCCAGGAGTTAGCTTTATCCATTATTTTAAAAATACTACGTACTGAGATACTAGACAGCAATAAAAAAATAGTCCATCTGTTCAATTTTACTTATTTTTGTGAATTAGAAAACAAAATCTGAACAGAAATGGAAAAAGTAGCTATATAAGAGAGGACCATGATTTTCCTGTCCTTACTGGAGCAGTGTCATCATCTTATGGTAAATTCAGAGTTCAGTATGGGCTTGTCCTATAGAGTGGGCATCCACAGTGACCTCCAGGAAGAAGCTGAAGACATGAGCTGGAGCCGATGGTGCCACCTGTCTCCTCCTCATCCTGACCCATTGGGCGCCTCTCTGCCCGGCTGTCCCACCTGCCCCACACCAGTCTCAGTTTACAGCCCCCGCCTTTGTGTTTGACTGGCACGTGAGCCTCCCAGGCTGTGGTGCGGGGCTGCGACCGTGACTTCAACTGTCTTTTCACATCACTGAGCTGTGGCGTAGGGGGGTGGGTACAGGAGAGTGGCAAAAGTGCTTCCCTCAGTGCCTGCTGCCCTTGAAGATGTAAGAGGACAACCCCGTTCCTCCCCAAGACTTACTGGTCCAGTTATTGCTACATTCTGCAGCCGAGGATCTTCCCATTGTGTTCTTTTTATATCTGAAAGGAAGGGAAGGAAGTTCTTTCTAATACACAAAATTTAGTACTAAAAAAATAATGTCATGAAATGTCACATTGCACCTACTGTGATTTATGTAGAAGACTCTTCCATCTGTGTGAGTTCTCTCTTCCCATCCTGGCTACAATTAAAAATGTATTCCAACTATTTTAGGACAAGGTTTTAGATGTATGGGTAAAAAATAACATTTGATTAAGTGGGTAATTTAATTGCACATTCCATTCTTCATAGGAAGCATTACTCAGTAGTCTGATGATGACATTGTCATTGTTAAAGAACTACTATAGTAAAAATGCAAGCTGCTTGAGACAGGTTAGATGGGGAGCAGTTCTGTGAACTTACAGGTAAAGGCCCCAGATCACCAGAAGATTCCAGTGGTGCCTTTCCTCTGAGATGAGCTGGAATTTTCAATCTTGGATCTTCCTTTTTGGGTTGAGCAAGTAAATAAGACAACAGACACATTTTAAAATAGTGAAAGTCAAGGTGCTACAATGTTCTGTAATATCAATGGGCATTTAAAATATTCTCTTTTAAAAGCCTATTTATACTTCATTTCCCTGCCCTCTGACATGATAGTTTCTCCCTCCACAGCTCTCACTTTCGGGCCACGCTGACGACCAGGCCTGCTCTCAGGGCCAGTCCTGCTTGGGCGTCTCAGAGCGTCTTGCCCAGCAGTGGGACTGTGCCACCACACAGAACTTTCTTCTGCACAAGAACTTGTGGGGGGGGGGCTGAGCCACATGTGATTTCTATACCCAAACGTGCTTTTTGGTTTCTAATGCTTCATGTGTTCCTTTATCAATATTTCTGAAGGACAGGAAAGTAACTTTTAAAAAGTTATTAAAATTTATTAAATTAATTCAGATTTTTTCCAACTGGTGTCGAATTACCAAACAACTTTAAGAATTATCTTAAAAATACTTATTCTATTGATTTGCAGTCTTTTTGGTGGTAAATGAGATCTGGATTCAAAAGTGCTTTGGGACAACAAGGCCTCATATAAAGGTAAAGAATTATTACTAAATGTCTTCCTAAATATTTACAGCCAGCAGACTAAAAACCAGAAACAGGACATAAATACAAATGCCACCAGCATGACATTAAAAAGAGGCATGAGTAGATTTCTGAATAGCAGTAACATTACTAAGAATAGCGCATCTCTCAGTGAAGGCGAGGAAAGGCCGGTTACATGACAGACACTTAGATGATATTGAACTCTAGGAGGAGATTACTGTTAGGTATTAAACTGCAGGTATTCCAGTTACCCAGGTGGTGGTTTTGGTGTTGTGGTCAATGTAGAAAGGTCTTCCGTTTGGCGCATGCCGGACTTCCCAGCCTTTGGGAAGGAGTCCCTGCTGGATTTCGGGGGGTTGGGCTGGAGGCCGGGCTGCATCACTGTCAGGGGGTTGCGGACCGGCAGAGCCCTGGCCAGAGGATGGCGGGCTGGATTCCCCGGTGGCCTAGCACAGTAATGAAATGAGGCTGAGAATTCCACGATGCTCACAAATAGCCACATTTAAGAAGAAAGCTTAACCTGAAAACCATACACACTTGTAAACAGGGCCTAAACATCTGAGGCTTGTTAATACAGTGATGACACTACTGATTTTTCCTCAGTACTTAATAGCACTTTTTCTCCATTTTTCCAAAAATCATTCTGCCAGACTTTGTTTTGATTTCCCAGTTGCTTCTCCAGCAGTGAGATGGTAGGTAGCCTTCTGCCTGTTGTGGGTGTGTTGGACTGAGGAGTCACTCATAGGGGCTGTGTGGGAGGTGGGCTCTGCTCCCCAAGACTCAGTGTGAGCAACACTCTGTACAGAGAAGTAGGCTCCGAGGTTGGGTAGATAAATGACAACTATCCACTACAAAAAGGACAGTGGGAGCTGGGTGTGATGGTGCACACCTGTGCACCTGTAATCCCAGCACTCTGGGAGGCTGAAGCAGGAGGATCTCAGGTTTAAGCCCAGCTTGGGCAATGTGGTGACTTAATGAGACTCTGTCTCAAAAAAATAAAGGGCTAGGAATGAAGCTCAGAGTGAAGGCTCTGAGTTCACCCCCGCACCAAAGTGGGTGTGTGCGGGTAAATGGAATGTAATATAGTCATATGGAGGATTGTCAGTAGTTTAAAGAAATATACTGCATTTTACACAGTGTAGACAGAGCTTTAGAGCGATGCTATGCAAAAGGAAAGATTCAGACTTACATAGCATAACATCTGCAAACCCTGGAACAGTCATAAGCAGTTTATGCATTTTCTACTCTCTGTGCAAATATATAAAATAGATTAGAAAAATACTTAAGAAACTACAAATGGTAGCTCCCCGTGGGAATGGGACCAATACTTTGGCCGAGAGGGTTAAAATTTAGTCTTATGTGTAAGACTGTTTTTAAAAACTAAAATCTCTGGAAATGAATGCAGCAACCTGTTAGTGGTGGTATCTTCTTAATACTGAAAATATGAAGATTTGTTACAATATTCTCTGCATTTTTAGTGTTAAAAAACTTCTCAATGAGAGAAACAGTGATAAGATAAAATAAGGATTTTATGAAACACAGGAATTACTACAAAAAGCATTCAGTGTATCCAGGGATAAAGTACCACAACTGTGAATTACTCTAGTAGACACTAATCATTAAGATTACCCTTTAGCAAAATAATGATCTTAATTACTCAAATTACAAAATCATTCAATAGACCAGTTTGTCCACTCTGTTCTCTTGTCCTCCATTTGGACTTGTTTTAAATAATAACAAGGGGTACCTCACGTGGTACGAGATATACACAAAATAGTAAGAGCATCCGTGTCAGAAAATACGTAGAGTATGCTAGAAGGGTCCAGGGTCTACCACAAGTGTCTGGAATGGCTTACACAGGAGAGCGAAAGCTAAATCCTGTAGGAAAACATGCATGTCAAGAGCAGGCACCTGCACAGTGGGCTTTGCCCAGGTCGTAGTTCTGGAATTGTGATCTACATAATACAATCTTCCTCTTTCATCTTGCTTTTCTTCCCAACCCGGTGGTAATCCAGATGAAGTAGGCAAAAGCTGAAGTGTGGAAGAACAGAAAGTTAAGTATTTAAGAGGACCACATCCTTTCTGCTGCTAGCTCTTTGAAATGTATCACATCTTATTTTAGTTTCAGTTAAAACCATTTAGTACAATAGAAAATGGGTAAAAGGTACATTTTAATTCAGTACAATGAGCCATAATTATGCAAAATGAAAAGAAAAGCATTTCACTTGGGAAAAAATAGAGTCCACATGAGAGATAAAAACATCCACAGAACCCACCAACACTCACAGCTACACACTGCTTAACGTGGGTTGTGTCGTGGAGCCCTGTGCCCAGCTCTGCGACGGCATCACCGAGTTGCTGGCCTGTTCTGCAGCCAAGGATGGTGCAGCTTAATACACCGTAGCAACTGTGAGGCCACCTCACCAGGAGGAATGGCTATGACAACCAGGGCGGCTTCCCCAGGCCTCGCACGGGGTCCCGAGCAAAGCCTCTCACACGATGCTCTGAGGCTGGGGGAGGCTGTTCACTGCGATTTGTTACTGCTTATTTCCAGGGTTACTTTAAGTAGGCCAAGGCCTGGCCTTCTCTTTGTCTTTGTCATTGAGCCAAGCCCCTTGAAGGCGTGGCTTGGCTCACCACATAAACGCCAGCAGCAGCAGTCTCCCTGGACAGTTATGGGTGCCCTAGGTGCAGCTTCACAGGTCCATCTGTGCATGCACAGGCAAATGTGGTAGACAGAGCTACTTGATGCCTCCTGAGCTACTGAGACAGAGACAGCACGCGAGAGTGAGGCCAGGCACACAGTCCACAGGACACCCACACAACTCCCTGCAAAGCCGTCACCACCGAGAGCAGAGGGGCCACGGGCAGGGGCGGGCAGGTGACAGAGACTGGAGGGCTGGTGGTGACATCTGCTCAGCTGTGTGGACCTACAGAAACTCATTTATCACATCCTGAAAAGAAACTGTGCGACAAAGCCAAATTCCAGTAAGTGATTGAGAAAAGGAACGGGACATAAAATATAAATCACTTTTAGGTTCTGTTGCTCATCTGGTGAACTCAGAGCTGCTCCTTCGTGAATGTTACCAGGAGACATACATCGCATTGTGTGGAGAACACGGGGAGACAGGGACCACAGCAAGAGTCGGGTGGGTGTGGGGCCCAGGACATAGGGTCTGGGGCCCAGGGGGGTGTCTTGTCTTCCTCAGCATGGGGTCTGCAGCCCTCTCAGTACCACAGGACTGACTAGACAGCATAGTCTCTTGTGAGCTGAGGATCTAGGAACTGTGTTCCTATGCTGAAATTTCCTTGAAAGCAAAAATTCTACTTTCCAAAATAAATAATATAGGCTGCCACTTTACAAAGGGCTGGAGGGAGAAGAAGAGAAAGGACATGTACACGGCCAGAGGGAGTGAGGACTTGGACCTGTGGGGAGCAAGAGGCCAGGTGGCTGGGGCCTGAGGTCAGGAGAGGGCAGGCTGAGGAGGCTGCGGCTGGGCTTTCACTGCTGTGGAAGAACACAGGGGGTCCAGTGATGGAGACCACTACAAAGCAGCCCTGAGCAGGACTTAAATTATCCAGTGGGCTTTTTGTGTTTACTTGTGAGTTTGTCCAAGGCCTAGGCTCCTTGTCTGGAGATGGGCGGTGGACTCATAGTAAGTGAACCTCAGTTAGTCACTGATTCCTATTGAGGCCTGTAATGGTAGATGAAGCAGGAAAGCCTCAAAGGATAAGACAAGGTCAGAGCCCAGGACACCTGGATCTTATCTCAACTAGAGTAAGACTGTAGCCTTAGGCATTTTACTCCTGGGTGGATTAACTTAATACCTTACTTGGAGAAGTCCTTCCTGAGTACTCCTCTCCCTTCTTCTGATAACTAAATAAATATGGGCCACCCAGAAAAGGTCTTCATCTTAGCCCTGAGAGAATCTCATATTCTGTGAGAGGGCTTTGATACTACTAGAGCCCTGAAATCATTCCATTTGCCTTCTTTTGTTTAGCCTTTGCTGTATACCCATTCAGGAGACTGCAGACCTGATCAGCCCACAATAACCAGAGGATATTATTAACCTGATAGTCCAGATAGAGGCAAGACTGCTGGGCCCATGAGACTTGGGTAGGGAGGGGAGGTGGGGGACGCACGGCCACCCTGAAGACCAGTGCCAGCCGAGAACCACAAGGCACAGCTTCCCACCTCCTGTGTGGAGCGTCCCTCACAGACAGGGCAAACAGCTAACAGACAGCCAGGCACCAGGGACACAGGCACAGAATAAGGCTGCTGCGCCCTGTGCGGGCTCCTCTGCCAGTGCAGCCCACCATAGCCAGCACCCACAAGGGCTGGCCATGCCAGCGCCCACGCAGTCCCTGCGTAAGACCCCTGCTGGTGTGGGAACCGCAGCTCTGCTCCTGTCTTTCAGGCCCACCCTGACCCTAGAAGCCCATGGGTGCAGTGTAGACTGGATGTTCACGCTCAGGGTTCCGTGAAGCAATAAAAAGGTGCTGATGGCCCAGGGGAGAGGATGAAACTCACCACAGGAAGCGCTGGCTGCTCCTCGTAAGTATAGGCTTGCAAGCTGCCTCTGCTGGAATGATTCTTATAGAAACAGAATAGCAATGCTTTAGCTTTGTGACGCAGTGAGGAGCTGAGGCTTAGGCAAAGGCCCTGCTCCAGCCAGGCTGTGCTGGCACCGGCCCCACCCTCAGCCCAACACTTTGACATCCAGGAGCTGGCCTGAAACTCCTAGGCAGTGCATGCCTATAACCCCTGCAGTCTGGGAGGCTGAGGCCGGAGAATTGCAAGTGTGAGCCCAGTCTGGGCAGCTCAGCAGCTTAGTGAGACCCTGCTTCAAAATAAAATAATGTAAAGGGCTGGGGATGTAGCTCAGTGCAAAGGCCTTGAATTCAATCCCTAGTACCAGAAAGAGGAAAAAAAATAAAGGTAACTCCATAATCTTGTCTAGATACAGACAAAATGTGAATACTCCAAACTACAAAACACCAAGTACCTCCCTACCCTGCCAGTGCACGTGCTCCTCCTTGCTCATCTTTGCTTTGTCCTCACCACAGTAAGATCTTGGATGTGCAGTTACAGAACCCACTGCCGCCGACAGCATGCACGGCCATCTTCGTTCCGCTTCCCAAAGCCTCCTCCAAACCACTCGCATGCACCTGACCTCTGCGAGTGTTTCTAACACTCTTACCAAGACACTGTGGTGTGTGTTCCTGTGGACTTCTGGCTGGAGGCTGTGTTTATAATGGGCATTTAAGATGCCAGTGACCACTGGGACTACCTGCTCTAGCTCATTACCCAGAACGTTTGAAAAATGATCACTTTATAAAGTCTCCAGGGCCCTGACATTACCTACACCAGTGAAAACAAAATTCTACATTAGTTGTTGAGTGGAATAATATTTATAACAAACTCTTGAAGCAAAACATAATCAAAGGTCTCTTACTGAGCTGGACGCTGGCTGGTTGGCGGCTGAATTTCCATGGACAGTGAGCCTGGCACTCAATTCTTCTGCAAGATGAGGCTGAACATCCAGGAGGCCTGGTGGGGGAGGTGGCAGGAAGGCCTGACTGCTGGACACAGCAGCTTCGTCCTCTCTTATAATCTCCCAGTTCTGAAACAAGTAGAGTCAGTGTGAGCTTTCATCCATCACCATCATGTGGGCCCGGCAACCACATTGGAAGCCCTCATACCTCGGAGGAGTCCCGGATGTCACTGCTTTCTGTTTCCTCGGATATCTGTCGCCTAGTGGTAAAGGCGCGCTGTGCTTGCAGCTGAATGTCACCACTGTCAGTGTCTGTGAGGTCGTCCCTGTATGGACAGCATACAAAGCCACCACTCACATCTCAGGACAGAATGACAGGAAAGAATTCTGTGATCATTAACAAAACGCTTACAATAGATCACAACTGTCTTTGGCCAAAGGCTACTTCAATATGCATGCATGAAACTGGGCAACTGGCACCTTCAGAGCACCTTAGGGAGCTAAAGTTCTGTGACACTGTGTAACATGACTGATATTTTAGTTTATCATGGTGCTTCGGATAATATCTCATACATATAGGCGCTCATAAATATTTATTGACTGAATATCAGAGATTTCATAAATAATTTCATTATATTATTATTTCACAATGTTATTACAAAAGTAAAATCTGAAGTAGCTCTAAAGCCACACACATCTGCATCAATCAGGCAACAGAGTTGGTAGCATCAGTGTTAATAAGGTGCAGAGTTCCCCATACGAATAGGGAAGGCGGAATCAGAAACAGGGCAAGGGCCAAGATCTAAAGGGAGACTGACTGGCGAATGAACAGTGCCTGATTCTGTAAGTGGGTGTAGGCCTGCTGTCAGAGGGTAATAGCAAAGGCTCATCTGAATTTAGGAAAGGTATAAACACAGTTATTTCTACGTTATATGACTCAGTTATCTGCACTTAATATAACCAGACTATCAGATCAAGGATTTTGTTCAAATATCTAGAGACAAAAGTATCAGTTTCTTTAACATCAGATAAGCCCAGGACAGTCATAAGATCAGTTCATTTTTTATTTTCTCTTGAGACAAGGTATAGCTGTTTAGCAATATATCATTATTATGTTTAAAACTTGACACATGACAATTGTGTAAACTGCACTTGGGGTACTACGTGATGTTTTGATACCCATTTACATGGTTTAAGAATCAAATCAGAGTGCACAGCATGTTCATCACCTCATACATTTATCATTTCTTTGTAGTGAGAGCATTAGCATCTTCTAGCTTTTTCAAAAAGCTCTGTACAATGTTATTAACAATAGCCACCAAAACTTACTCTGTCCCACTGCTGGCCATTCCCCACCCTAGATTTGAAAAGATCGGTCCTTACTGGGTTTAGTTGGTTAAAACACAAGCTCGACAGATGTTTCAGATTTTTTTTTTTGCCTAAATATTTGATTTTTGCTACCTGAAATGACATCAGCCATAATAAAATAAATAGGCTTAAATAGCAGAAGCTCAAGCCAGCTGGTCACAACATTGAGATGTGCAGCTGGTTACAACATTGAGACATGCAGTCAGGTAATTTTGCAGAATTTTAGTGTCTTTGGTTCTGCAGTCTGTCATTTTACAGATCAACACCTCTTTGCTATGAAAGACTTGGATCCCTGATTTACTTTGGAAGGATCTGTGAACAGGAAATACCTTTGAAAATTCTTGGGCTATATCTGATACAAAATATTACAACTAGAAATTAGGAGGTTAATGGACAAATTCAAAAAATTGTAAGAATGCATCCAATAGGCAGAGACTAAAGAAAGCCATCTCCAGCTACATGAAAGGAGAAATGGAAGGGGTTTGATAACAAAGGTGAAGAGAAAATTGGGCAATGCATGTGCAGTGTGATGGTAATAGAAACGTCACTGAGGGGATACAAGCTAGAGCACATCACAAGCCATTCTGTCTGGTCCGTGCACTGTGGAAGGTATATGTACAGATGCCAGAGTGCAAAACGGGTGTTGAATATAACGTCTTTACTACTAGGTCTTTTCTATTTTATAGATATTTTATATTTTAAAATATTTGTTATTATATTTTAATTTAAAAAAAAACTACAAAATTTCTAAGATTTTGGTTTGTTTATTCATTTTTTTGAGACAGGGTCTTGTTTTGTAGTTTAGGCTGGCCTTGAGCTCATGTGGATCCTCTTGCCTCAGCCTCCCGAGTGCTGGATTACAGGTGTGCACCACCACGTCCGGCTTCTAAAATCTTTTAAATCCGTTTCAAAAGAAAAAAAGGAAATAGCAGGGTTTAATGGTGCACGACTGTAATCCCAGCACTGGGGAGGCTGAGGCAGGAGGATTGCTGTGAGCTTGAGGCCAGCCTGGGCTACATACTGAGTTCAAGGCCAGCCTAAACTACATAACAAGATCCTGTGTTTAAAAAAGTATATAAATGTATGAAATAAGCTATATAATTAATGATTAAATTGAATCAATTAAAAAAGTGGTATCTATGATTCAAATGATTCTGAATATTAACAAATTAGGTTAAAAAATATAGCTGAATAACATTTTTTAAGCCCTGGGCCATAAAATTCTGATCTTCTGCTGGGTACGGTGGCACAGACCTGTCATCCTAGCTCTCTGGGAGGCAGAGGCAGGAGGACGGCAAGTTCAAGTCCAGCCTGGGAAAGTTAGCAACTTAGGAAGACACTGTGTCAAAATGAAAAATAAAAAAGGGCTGGGGATGTAGCTCAGTGGGGTTCAATCCCCAGCACCCCCCTCCACATACACATATCCTGCTCTTACAATTTATGAGTCCCTATACCACCATGGATCTGTCTGAGGTCTCACCTCAAAATGAAATTAGTGGTCAACAAGTGTCCAGACTAGAAATGCGAGAGCCACAGCACTTACTGGGGGGTTGGTCTCTTCCACTGCGTCCTCCGGGACCCGTGGTTCACATAGTAGGTCCTCCCGAGGATATCCTGCCTCTCCTCCCACCCTGGAGGGAGGGGAGACGGCTCCTGCTGCTGCTGCAAATGGGAAGCAGCGTCTGGTTGGTCCAAAACAACCCAGCCAGGCTGAAACACAGGATGGAGACAACCAAGAAGAGCTGCGTAAGCATCTGCTGGAGAGAGTTCACGGACTTCGCACACGCATTCCAGAGAGTGCACATCAACAGAACCCTCACACCTTTGATTTCTGAAGTCCAAATATGAATATTTTATGTAATGATTTTTTTCTTCACAAAGTCACAATCATTTGGATTTTGTTTGAAATTTTGAAAATATTTTGAAATTTTTCCAAATAGTTTTACAACATCTAACAGGAAAAAAGGGACCAATAATCCCTTCAAATAAGCAAATGATGCAGAGTGGGACAGCACTGAGAAACCCAGAAGCCCAGCGGAAGCTGGGGTGAGCGTGGGCTGTCCTCTGAGCTGCGGCAGCTGTGCCAGGGTGGGGACGGTGGGCAGCGGTCACTGTCTCACTCACGGGAAAGACACTGCTTCTGGTGGAAACAACCCCACATGAGATGATAAGGCCAACCACAGCTGGGCAGACTGCGAGACAAGACAGAGCTACCGAGACATGGCTGCCACACGGCACCCTGCAGTAACTGAAGCCTCTGTTTCATCTGCCTTTGCTCCTGCTCCTCTGGGCAAGGACGCACATTGTGGTCACATCACAAAGCAGCCAAAGAAAGAGAGACTAAGAGACAGATACCCTGGGAGTTTGGTTTCTCTGAGTCTAGCAAGAAACAAAACACACATCAAGCCTTAGCTAGGGTGAAGCGAAGAATGAAAGGGTAGTAAGAACTAATGCCATGATTTCATATGAGAACTCTTACAACAGAAGGGGTATCAGGCAAAGTATTTTATTAAATTAGTAAAGAAAAATTTGAGATGCCCCTAAAAGGAGACTGAATGAATGAAAATGCAATATTACCATGGCTAGAAAGATCCAATCTCACAAAGGTCAATTCTTCCCAAGTTAATCTATAAATTTGCCAAGATTATGCTCAAACTACATCATGTATATTTTTAAATAATAGCATAAACCAATTGTCAAATTTAAATAGAAATGCAAACTTCTTCTAAATGAGCCTTCTTCTAAAAAAAGAACAGCAATGAGTAGAGAGGAACCCAACAGAAAAAACATAAAATGCAATTGTTAAAACAGTGTGATGGCACATACTTGTAATCCCAGCACGCTAGGAGGCTGAGGCAGAAGGATCATAGGTCCAAGCTCAGTCTTGGCAACTAGTGACTTACTGAGACTCAATCTCAAAATAAAAAACAGAATGGGCTGGGGACCTCAGTGCAAAGTCCTGGGCTCAATTCCCAGCACCACAAAAACAAAACAAAAACTTACAAGAGTGAGCTATGTGGCTATGTGTAAGCAAGGACAGACGGCTGAAAAGAATGGGTTAGAAAGCCCAGAAAGACTCCAGCATACAGGAACTCAGCAGGTAACACACTGCAAATCTGTGGGAAGGAGGCAAATTGCTTAGAAAATGAGTACCTATAATTTGTTTTTAATCAGCCCCCCCCCACCTCATATGTTATACCATGGTAAGTTACAGACAAAGTAATAATTGTACTTTTTGAGATAGGGTCTTATTATGTAACATTTGATTTTATACCCCATACAGCTTCAGGTTAAAATTTGCCCACGCTGACCTTAAATTCTGGGGTTCAAGCAGTCTTCCTGCCTGCACACCCTACTATGCCTAACTCAGATCCAGTAATATTTCTTTTATTTCACTAAATTTTTTGCAGCACTGGGGACTGAACCCAGGGCCTTTGCACTGAGCTCCATCTCCAGCCCTTTTATTTTTTATCTGATCCTCCTGCCTCAGCCTCCCAGAGTCTGGGATTATAGGCATGTACCACCACAGTCCGCTAGACTGAGTAATATTTAGATGTTAGAGAATACACCCAAAAGTATTAGAACAAACTTTGGCAAATTTAAAACATACATTCCAAGAACAAGAAGCTGTTGAATATGACTTCAAAGCTGAAGGGCATCTAAAAGAATATCTATAAGTTTGACTACAAAATGTAGCCCAAGTAATTTAGTCACACTGAGACCTTGTCTTAAAAACTAAAAAAAAAAAAAGGGCCTAGAAGGTAGCTAAGTGAGAACTTAGGTGAGTCTCCAGCACCACAAAAACAAAACAAACAAAAGCTAAGATTTGTCTCTGAAAGATTTGCTTTCTCGGTATGTTGAAGAGGAAATTTAAAAATTTGATTAAGGCCTTTTTAAAAAGCCCGTTTAAAATTTGCAGAGGTACAGTTGTATACTCATATACCATTTAGAAAGTGGATTTTCATTGTTTAGGTAAAATTCCTGTTAAACATTTATCATCTACTATTCTTCAAAACACAAGTTTCTAAGAATCAGTAAATCTTAGCTAACATGCAACTGCTCACAAGTGAAAGCAGTCAAAGAGCTGGGAAGAAGTTTCAGAGCTGGGCACACACTCTATCCACTAACCTTAGGGAACACAAACGGTGGACCCTGAAGCTGTATGGGGTATAAAATCAAATGTTACATCATTACCTGTTACAGCCACAATTTATGAAAGAACACAAACTGCCTAGGAGCGAACTTCTTTTCAAAAGTACAACTGTTTTCCTCAGACAGTAGAATTTTATATATTTGGTTACAAACTAGACATAGGCGAGACTTCTCTGGTCCTCAGCTATCCAGAAGGCAACTAGGCACACGCTCATGTGTTTGAATTCCTTGGGCCTTTCATAAATAAACTCCGCTCACATCTCCTGAAATTACAAGGTGCATCTGGGGATTCAAACCCTGGAACTCAAGGCTGCAGCGCGAGGGGAAGGGCTCTGCCCACAGGCCTGGTGCACATGAGACCCGGGATCTACAGCATGTGTGAGGGCAAAGCCTGGAGCAGGTTACTAAGCAATGAGATGCTGCTCATTTTTTAAACTTATTAAAATATTTTCTTTCTTTATTGTAGACATTTTTCATTTCAAATATAATTACATTATTCAAGATACCCTGTGCACCAAGCTTCTACCCAGTACATATCTTAAAACTTTAAAAATAATTATTATATGAAAAACAAATAGGAAGAAAAGATAATAAAGTCAGGTGCTGTGGTGTACGCCTGTAGCCCAGCGCTCTGGAAGGCTGAGGCCAGTCTGGGCCATATAGCAAGACCTTGTCTCAAAAAATCAAGTAAGAAAAGACAGACTCGAGAGTATGGCATATTCTTTGCTCACCACAGCAGATGCTTTCCACATACTCTATGATTTGAAGAGACAAAATTTGTCCTTTCTATTATCATACATTACCCTGCAAATGAAATTTCACTAATGCATTAAAAAATCCCCAGAAAGCCCTGCTGCAAACCTACCCCCTGCTATAGGGCCTCCCCTTGGTGCCACAGCCACACGAGGGCATGCAGCCCTGAGACATCCCTCAGTCCCAATTCTTAGGGAGACCACAGCAGACGCCCAGTCAGAGGCAAGGTTGCCAGGAGGCACAGAAAGGGGCCTCAGAAGCAGAGGGTGCACATGCAGGGTGTCGCCGTCAGTGCTGCTGTGATGAGCTGGCCTTCAAGGGGCCTCGAGGAGCAGCGTCTGTCTCCTTTCAGATAATGACTCCTCCCATGGGAAGAAGCCCAAGAGGCCATGGGGCACAGCCTGTGGCCCCACCAGAGAGGCTACTAGAGCTCCCCCAGGGTACTGTCCTCAGTCTCCTCTGCCCAAGAAGGTGTGGCTGCCTTCCTGCCCCTCAGTGCCACCCAGAACTTGGTGTGTGGCCTTTCCTTTTGTCTTGTCACCTGAAAAGTGTCAAACAAGCATGGCTTTTTATTAACTCACAGAGATGCCCCCTCTCTTTCCCTCCCCTGCTCTGAGGCTTCTCATGACAGCAAAAATAACAGAAATTATGAGCCACGAAAGCACTTGTGTAGAGACTCCTCAAAATGCCCATATATTTAACATACAAATCTCAATTGTATTCTCGCTTTAAGAGAAAACATGACCAAGTTTTAGAAAACTCTGAAACACTAGAAGCGCATAATCATTTAATTTTTTTTCGTACAGGAATCAAACTTAGGACCTTGTACTTGCCGGACAGGCATCTGCCACTGAGCTATATCCTTGGCCCTTAATGATTTAATTACGACACATGCTTTCAATTATAAATCCTGTATTCTCTACTTATTAAACTTAAGAAGGCATGAAGGATGGCCATCACTGTAGAGAAACCAGCAGAGGAAAAAGAACTGTTAATGAACGCTTGGGGCAAATAAATGTCTGAGAAGATAATTTTTGGTACACACATTAATTTCATTGAATGAAGTTATTTTTCTTTGAATATATGAAAACAAAATTAGATATTTTCATTTCAGTTTAACCAAAATTTATAAAATCTCACCTCTAATTCCTCAGCCTGTTCTGCATTATCGTCTTCCAAGCCACTGGTTTTAGGTAAATAAGTCATTTTTAATCTCAGATAACCTTTAACTCTTGATTTGTGACTGTAGGAAAGAAAAGAATTATTCACAAAATGTAATCCTGGGCAGAAAGCATTATTTAATAAGTTTACTGAACACCTACTAGCTACTAGGGACTTTCTAGAGGAGGCTAAAAGAAAGGTTCTAGTGCAGAAGACATTCAGGGACAGGAGTAGATGGTGGAGGAAAAGGAAACACATGTAGTGAATAACTGTGCTATAAATAAGAAACTGAGCCAGGCATGGTGCACACACCTGTAATCCCAGCATTTAGGAGGCTGAGGCAGGATGAATGCCACAAGTTCAAGGCCAATCTGGGCTATACACAGTGAATTCAAGACCAGTCTGAACTAAATAGCAAGACCTTAACTCAAAAAACCAAGCCAAACAAAGCCAAACAAGAGGCTAAGGAAGTTCAAGTAAAGCAGCAAGGACTGCCTCTTGGAGGAGCTGGTGTGTGAGCTGGGCCTGGAAGGCTGGGGAGGATTCTGATCTGTGCCAGTAGAAGGAGAGGAACAGCTGGGAACCAGGAAATACAGGGAGCTGGGTAGGTTCAGGGGGTGGCAAGAGCTGAGTGTGGCCTGATTGCAGACCCATCCAGGGGCTGGTAGGCGGGCAACAGTTCAAATGATGAGGGTGTGCAAAGCCTGAACTTCAGCCTTATCTTACGCATGCTGGTGCCACGCAGACTGGGACAGGGGTGCACCCTCAGAGATGTGCACAGGACACTGGCTGTTACCGGGCGTGGAGCGGTAGGAAGGGCTCCACGGCCAGTGGGTCACCTCACTGTCTTCACACTGGGTCACCGCTTTCTAGGAACGGGTCACCTGAGTTAAAGGCTGCGGCCTACTGTGGTCATGCTTTAAATCTTTTTTACAAATTTGACTTTCATAAGCTTCTAAGACTACCTCTTTTATTGCTTCCGTTTATTCTAGCATCCTAAGGTTTACTTTAGAAATAATTCCTAGCTTTCTAAATAGTTTCTATTTTCATTTTGGTAATTTTCATAGGTGGCAGTTATGTAACCAACCATCCTTTGCCTTTCCAGATAGCAGGGTTCTAATTTTTTGTTCATCTTTGAGCAGTCACACCCCACCCCATCATTTTAGTTGTTCTCTATGTAGTTCTCATGGATTGGCAATTTAGTGTTCCCTGTCCCGAGCAGTAGGAAAATCCTCAGCCCTTATTTCCAGGGCCACTGCGGCGGTTTCCTCAGGTGAGGGTGACCCACGCTGACCCGCTGCTGTGAGGGCCGGGGAAGCAGTGGCTCAGAGCATGTTCTGCAAGAAACGTCTCCACTGTGCTTCCTGTCTTCCCAGAGAGTAAGCCCATGGTTTTGACCTAGTGGGAATGAAATATGAGAACGGAGTACACTACCTGCCTGAATAAAGCCCCTTCTGCTCTTGAGGCCACATTCAATGCAGATATAGAAGAGGCAAAGTGTTATTTGAAAACAAAGATGGTGAAAAGCATCTTATAAATTGAAAAGCAGGCTACTAGAACACCCAAATAAGAGAGGAGACATTTGCTTGGTTATTGTTGGTATGCAGATGTCACAATCAATCTAGAATTAAAGGAAAACAAGAGATTTACACCCTAGACTCCTACTGAATTAAATATGTAATGTCTTGTATGTAGAGTAAACATTAATAAAGTCACAGCACTTTCATTTGTTTTTATATTGATATTATGAAGAACAATTTAAAGAAGTCATTTCAAGTGAAAAGTTTTGCTAAGTTCCATTTTCCAAAGGCATTTTTTAGTTTAAAAAACAAGACAAACATTATTGTTTTCACAGATGTCCTTTTTCTGCTGACTTTGAGCTCTCTGACAGTAAATCTACACACATTTTGATTAGATTTTACTTGACTGTGTGGTACAGAAGGTTAAACAAAAGTTTCAAAATTTTGACAAAACTCAAGTAATTCACTTTAGGAAAACAGAATGATAAGCTTGCTACTTGGGTTTTAAATTCTAGCCTCCACTTATATAATTTTCCCTAAGTACTTCTAAAATATTGTTTAAAAATTAAAATATACAAAGTATAGTTAGATTTTTCTGAAATTGGCTTTGTGCATGTCAAGTTGTATCTTTGTTTTACCTGATGTTTGTGAATTTTTCAAGCAGCGTATGACAAAATTGTGCATGGCTTAATACACAAAATATATATCATGACAAGTGTCAGTGTTCAGTCTGACATTGGAACACAAAAAAGAGCAGGATCTGTTTCTGTATGTTTAGAATGTGCAAAAGGTACTTTAAAGTCAGAAATAAAAATAAAGCTTAAAAATCATAACATTTCAGAAGCAGTTTTTTTTAATAAGTGTTTAAATTTCCAAACAGGCTACTGTAAGGTTTAGTGGGAGATAAAAACACTGAAGTTGCTGTGATCTCAGTTACTAACCTTCTTGGATGAAGAACAAAGTCCTTAAATGTATATGGTCTCTCCAGTCTTGGATTCTCTGTCTAGAATAAAACAGTGGGTTTTCAAGAGACAGCTTTAACACAAACACCGTGTACTTCTTAAGAACTTTTACCAGCCACCATCGAAGCGCAACTGGAGTTAAACGACAGTAACTTTAGTTATCAAATAAACGGCTAGGCTGGTGATTTTGCAATGTGAACTGAACTGAGCAGGCAGCACTGTGGCCCCCAGCAGGCTGGAGGGACAGAGAGAAAGCTCGGGGGCCGGGGGCAAGCACAGGAACAGTGGAAGGATGCCATGTGCAGGCAGGTGGGCCACTGCGGGAAGGAGGGCACAGGCGACCTCACAGGCCAGGCGAAAGCCTGGCGAGGCCTGGCTGAGTGGGCTGCCCGAAGCCTGTGGTCTCTGTACCCCGGCGACCAGCTGAGGAGGGGAGTCTTCCTCTCCTGACACTGCATGAGCCCTCTGTCCGCTCCCATTCCCCTTCACTCCTGTGCTGCACTGTCACCTCCCCTCTGTCCTGAGGTCTATCCAGGGTCTGGTGACTCCACCTACTCAGTTCTTCCCTGTTCTCCCCTGCCTCCTCTCCTCTGGCCCAGCCTTGGGAAGGTTGCCAGCTCTTCCCGCTTCCTCCCTCCTTCCCTTCCCTCCTTCCCTTGCCGCCCCTTCTCCCTTCCCCCCTTTCCTTCCTTCGCCCTCCCCTCCTTTCTTTCTTTCTCCCTCCTTCCTCTTTGATTTTTTTTTTTTTTTTTTTGCAGTACTGGATTTCTGTTGAAATTTGGCTATGTTCAAAAATAAATTTCTTGCATTTCAAAATAAATTGGCTTTTCCTCTTCCCTTTTCTACTTAAGACACCACCTTTATCTTCCAAGTTCAGTTTGTACTATTTACTTTCTGCTTTTGTTGGTCAAACCCCAGGTCAGACACTCCGTCTAGTCATGTGCTATTTGGAAATGTTCCCTAAATCTGACTGCTGTCCTCCGTCACTCTACTCCTGGTCCACTACACTCTCATGAGAACGGCACGCTCTGCGGCTCTCTGTGCCTTATGAGGCTGCAGGTAAAGAGCTGCTAGAGAGAAGACTGATGTGGAAAACAGAAATGGATTTTCAGGAAATATGCTGAAGAAAAAAAGCAGTATAGATTTTATAAATCTTTATATTAACCATATGTGTAAGTATTTTTTCAATTTTAAAAAGACAAGGAAACAAAATCATGGACAGCTATACCAACCGGCAATGGATAAAGAGGAACATCCACTTGACCTAGGAAATCATCTCTTGTCTATAAAAAAGAAAAAATAAGATTAGTAATATGCTCAATTCTTTTAGAAGGTCTTGATGAGATACTTCCATCACTCACAAAAATGTAGGTTTTTTTGTTTAATACTACACACCATCAATGGAAAATAGAAAATGGAAAGTAGGATTGTACAACTTCTGGTAATGCCAGAGTAACGTGATTCAATGAACCCTTGTGCAAACAGTAGTAACTCAGACAAAATATAAAAACAATGATTTAAGAGCACAACAGAGAGACCAAACCCAAGCAGAAACTGGAGGGAAGGCAGCCCAGAGAGCAGGAACCACTCTAGTGGCGTCATATTCCACAGTCCACATGGCGCAAAGCTTGAGACATGAGAAAAAAAATTGCAGTGCTGCTGTTTCCAGAAGTCAGAAGAGCAAAAGTGGGGTTAACAGCATGTCTGGAAAGTGAGAGGGAAAATCCCAGAAAGGAGGATGCCACACACATATCCCAAATCTCTATCCAAACTCTTGATGAATCCCTGGCTTATCTTAGAACCACATAGCAGAGGTGAGAGCTGCAAGGCTCAGAGGACTGGGCCCCACTCCTGCTCCAGTCTCCAGGAGAGACTCCATCCCCAGAGGGGCCCACATCCCCAGGAGAGACCAGTCTCCAGGACGAGCCATGTCCCCAGGGGAGCCCACGTCTCCAGGAAGGTCCATGTCACTTAGAGGAGACAGCATTGGGGGTCCAGCCCAGTTCATCTGCTAGAACACAAAGCAGTGCTCCTCAGAGAAAAGACAGCAAGATCGACTGTCTTCATTATGAATGAGATACATTATTGAGCACACAATCGAAAGAAATCACCAAGCCCATAAAAAATAGAAGAGCATAACCAGTATCAAGAGAAAAATTAATTATTAGAAACCAACCACAAGATGAGCCAGATCTTGGAATAAGCAGACAGGGAAATTAAAGCAGCTACTGTAAGAGTGTTCAAAGACACACAAAAAATAAAGTCTTAATGAATGAATAAATGGGAAATCTCAGCAGTGAAACAAAAACCATAAAAATGAATCAAATCTATATTTCAGACTGAAAAATATAGTGGTTGAAATAAAAGTCAGGGGATAGGCTTAACACGTGTGATTGAAGATATCTGGGGAAAAATGATATGAACTCACAGATAGGTTAATTGAATTTATCCAAACTGGAAAATAAAGAGAATTTGTGGGAAATTTGCAAGCAGTCACATATATGTGTAACTGGGCCCCCAGAAGCGGGGATGGTAATGCAGAAATAAAACAGAAAAATATTTAGGGGTAAGAGGAAAGTGAAATGTTTCCACATTTGGAAAACCAGAAACCTAGATATTCACCAAGCTCAATGCACTGAAGCAGCATAAACATAAAGAAAACACGAGTAAGCACAATGCTGTTGAATGCTGGAGGTGAAGCCAAATCTCAGAAACAACACATTCCACACAGAGAGAAAGTCACATGGTAGCTAGTGACTCATCAAGTACACGGGCACCAGGAGACAACAAAGAGAGAAAGCACCTTGTATTCTGTACGAGGCAAAGGATGTCTCTCAAGATGGGAAGGAAAATGAGGAGGCTGTGCAGAAGGGAGGCTGAAACCCACACTGGCAGATGGGCACTGCAAGAGATGCTGCAGGAAGTCAGGCCAGGGGAGGAGTGAAAACATCAAAATGGTGATGTGTTTAAAAACAAAACACGGCCAGGTATGGTGACACATGCGTGTAATCCTAGTATTTGGGAGGCTGAGGCAGGAGGATTGCAGTGAGCTCAAGGCCAGCCTGCACTAAACAGTGAGACCTTGTTTCAAAACACACACACACACACACACACACACAACCATTCTCAACCTCTCAGAGGACACACTGTTATTTACAGAAAAAACATACCCCTACATAGTAGTTTAAAATGCACTTTGTTGTAATATAAACACCATACAAGACACAGGTGGCATATATGGACCTGCATTTTGGTAAGACATATTTTAGATGGAGTGGTATGATTTAGATGAGGTAACTATTAATTAATCACAGAGCTAAAAAGAAGAATTAAAATGGTATATTACAAATACTTGATCAACCCAAAATGAAGCAGGAAGAAGAAAAGAAAAAACAGATGGGACATACAGAAATACAGAGCACATTTTTAAAGAACTAAATCTAACTACATACGATGAACCAAATATGCCAGTTAAAGACAGATTGTCAGCCTGGAAAGAATGTAAGACTTACACAGGTATTGCCTACAAAAGATAGCCATCACTATTATTTTTTAAACAAATTTTGATTAAACATTTTTCATTTTCACTGTTCATTTTGAAATAATGTCAGAGTCACAAAAAGTTGTAATACTGCTAAGAACTTGCCTATACTTTTCACCCAGCTCCTCAAATGTGAATATCTTACATAGCCATAAGATAATGATCAGCACCAGGAATACTACTAACTCGTATTCACAGACTACTCAAATGTCACCAACTGCCCCACTAACTTTAGTGCAGCGTCTGATTCAAAATCACACATTGCACTTAGTTGTCCTGTCTTAGTTTATTTTAATCTGGAAAATATCTCAGTCTTTTTCTTTTTTGTCTTATTTTGTCTTTTTGAGACAGGGTCTCACTATGTAGCCCAGGCTGGCCTTGAACTCACAGCTATCTTCCTGCTTCAGTCTCCTGAGTGCTGGGATGATGGGCATGTGCCACCACACCTATCTCAGTCTTTTTTATCTTTTATATCTTGACATTTTTAAAGAGTAGTACTAGTGAGTTATATAAGACCACCCAATTTGAGTTTGCCTAGTATTTCTTCATCGTTAGATTTAGATTGTGCATTTTTTGCAACAATATTATAAAAGTGATGCTTGTGTTCTTTACAAGTATGGTGGATTAACCAAAGGGCAATTTGTAATGTCCAGCTGAACTGAATCAGAATGGTTCTGGGTGTGGAAGACCCACCTGTTGCCAAAAGCATAAAAACAGAACTGGAGGGGAAGATGGTGGTACTATTGATTCTCCTGGAGAAGTTTGTCATGCTAGCTTTCCTGATATGAATTCAGCTGTTCTCGTTGTCAAAGGAGCGCAGGTTCTCGCTGTTGCTGAGGATGGCTACAGTTCTCCCCGGGGGAGCTCTGGTCCTTACCTTGAGCATCATCTCCTGGCTCCAGTGCAGATCTCTCAGCCTACTGGCACAGATCCTTCACCCCACTGGCTCAGACTTTCTAGCTTCCACCACAGACCTTTGGGCCTTCCCAGTAAAGATTCTTGGTAAAGACTTGCATGAGACATTGCTGTGGGCTCTAGCACTCCAGCTGGACTTATGCAAGACATTGCCATGGGATCTAGGCCCTGACCTGGATTCTTTGGGTCTCTAACACATGGATAGATCTCTTACACTTCTCTGCATTTGACTTTTTGGGTGAATATTATAAAATAATCCTATAAATTATGTGTCCTGTATTGAATCTATTCCCTTGCAAAGCTGGACTACAACACAGGGCTTCATGGCAGAAGGCACAGGAGGCCAACTTGGTCTGTTACTGAGGACACTAATGTTAGTCGTCTGGTACATCTGCTGGATTCCCTCCTTTAATGTCAATATCTTTTCCTCTGTAGTTAGCAGTATCTATGGGACAAACTACAAAGCTGTGTAAATACCCTGTTCCTCATCATATACTTTGTCGAAATGTTAACAGTGGGTTAAAAGTCAATTCATCAGCTGCAAGATGAGGCAAAGA